ACAACAATGCCACCCTTCTCAGAAGGTCCTTACATAGGAGGTTATTCTGAGTGTGGGGGGAGATAAACAAGGGAGCACGTAAACAGAGAGCGATCTCATGAGAAACTTGAGATGATCCATCTTACAAGAAAGCGACACAATGAGGCACCAGCAGTAGTTGTGTCTGAGGACCTCACTGTTCACCCTGTTACTGCCCCAGCTGGACAGGAGCCAGCACTTCGCTGGCTGGGTGTACACTTCGACAGAAGGCTCACCTGGAGACCACATGTCTCCACCCGGGCAAAGAAGGCAAGGGCCGTGGCCCAGCACATCCCGGAGTCTGGGAAAGACCAGAGACGGGCCCCCAGCAGACGCTCTGCGGAAGGCGGTCACCACCTGCGTGGTTCCCTCACTGCTCTATGGCACAGAGGCCTGGTACGGCGGCCGCACGCAGCCAGCAAGGCACACGGGCAGGAGTGGGGAGGTTAGCTCCCGCCTGGGATGGCATGTGGGGACAGTTGAGAAGGTGCTTACTATGGCAGCCAGAGGGGTCCTCCCAGTTTTCCGTACAACGCCCATCGCTACCCTATACCGGGATGCTGGGCTCCCATCAGCAATGGTAGCTCTGGAGGAGGCCAAAATTCGATTCGCGACAAGGCTTCAGGTGGTGGATGAGAAGCACCCACTGGCTTCACGGATAGCACCTCCAATGATCACACGAGGAAGAGGGGCTGGAACCCGGCAGCGCTCAAAGACCAAGATCCAGCGGTTGGGGGCGCTGCTACCTGCAGTCAATAGACCCACACTTGCCATCCCACACTACTCAGAGGGGTGCGGGACAGACCCCACAGAGGGTGTAGACAAAAAGAGTGCTGCTCAGGCATTCAAGGAATGGTGGAGAAGTCTAACCCGCTCAACAGATCTATATGTTTTCTCAGATGGATCAGAACGGAACCTTGACAACAGCAGGCAGGTGGGCTATGGCTTCATAGTCTATCAGGGAAATAAACAGCTGGCCAGCTTCTCAGCTGCGCTGAGCCCTATGTCACATGTCTTCGACGCTGAGGCAGTTGGTGCCTGCCGGGCATTGGAGTGCGCCGTGAAGCTCCTACCTTGTGTCACAGAGGACAGCAGCAACCCTCAGATCTGGCTCTGCCTCGACAACACCTCAGTCATCTGGGGCATACGGGGCAGTGCAGCAGCCTCCTCAAACTGGGCCTACAACCGCTGCCATGAGCTCCTCAGACAGCACAATGTCGGCCTGAAATGGGCTCCTGGGCATATGGGGATAGAGGGCAATGAGGAAGCAGACCGCTTGGCTAAGCGGGCAGTCTCATCCACTGCAGCCCCAGCCTATGGTCTCGAGGCCACACCCACAGTCAGTGGGGTCCGCACAGTGGCCAAGCAGCTCAGCCAAGAGGCAAGGCGAAAGTGGTGGAGTGGAGCCTGTGGCAAGCTCTCTGACTGGTACCGGGGCTGGAGTTTCAGCAGGCCGACTGTGGAATACCAAGTGAAGGCCCCTCCGGAGCTCACCATGCCACGGCATGCCCTTCACCGCTGGCTCGCACTCCGCTCCTCTCATGGGGACTTCTCCTGGTACCACAGGCGTTTCCAGCATGCAGATGCGAGGCTCACCTGTGTCTGTGGACACAACAAGAGCCCAGAACATTTGGTGCTCTGTCGACACTCACAAAGGCACTTTCTTCACTGGCCCAAGAGGCCAGCAGCACGGCCACACAACCGGGCGACAGCTGTTGCCTATCTAGGGTCTCTGACCCCTACAGACTTTGTAGAACTGCTGGACTGCACGCAGTTCTACACACGGTACTGCACAAGGTAACGCAGCCGGCTGGCTGCAAACCATCTGACAACCCCCGCAGCAGTTCCACGAGGCCGGCCTGCTGAGTACACCCACGGTAGCTAGTGCAACTGCCAGGGACATCACAGTCTATGCAGACAGTACAGATAGCACAACTAGGCTCATCTGTCTCAATTAGCTGTGGTGTAATCAGTACAGTCTACGTGTCTGACTCAGCTGATATGGTTTTGACTGCCGGCATTGTATCTACGCGTGCTCTGCTTTGTTTTCCTCTCGTTTGCCCTTGTCTCTATCGGCTCAAATGCTTCTTCTTCCTTCTTTTCTTTGCTCTCTCTGTCATTCTCTGCTCTTTTCCTGTCACAACCTTCTTCAGTGCTCTCTCCTTCATTATTTATCTTGTCTGTCTTTCTTCTGATGTTAGAAGCACAGACAGCTTTCTGATCAACTGAGAGAGGTATCCCTCTCTGCTCACTATAAAGCCTTCCAGGCACGGCAGCGGCGGTCCCCTCAGGGAACCACACTATAGCCCCACCATGAATGGCCATACGTCGGGCCAGAAGTGGATGCGCAGCTCAGAAAAATCCTTTGCAATGAGCTGAGTCTTCTCAAGAGTTGCCACCTGGGATTCTGTTTTCTCTCTCTGTGTACATAGAAATCTCTCCAGCGTAGCACGTCTCCATGCCCTTCGGGAGGCTTCTGAAAACACGGGCGCTGCCCGTGTTTTCTCCGGGACGTTAAACCTATACATACATACATACATTGCCATATATACCCATGTGAGCAGGCACCCAGTGAAGATGAATAGAATAATTGAATGAGATTTTTCTTTGAATATTTTGAAGACTTTTCAAAATCAGCTCTAGCATTGACTGTTCACTGCTGATTTTATTACTTTGAAGTCTTTTAAGCTCAGCTTGACTATTAGAGTATATCTAAACGTGCTCAAATCTTTTCCATTGTTCAATCTTCATCTCAACAAATTTGAAAGCTATTGAAATTGCAAATAATTCAGCATTAAAAACTTCTGACTCTTTTCCAATTTACCAAGAATCAAGAATATAGTTTTTATCATTTTCTGAATATGCTATTCCAGCTGCAAGATTGCCTGTTTTTTCACAGACGTAAGAATAAATAAAGATAATATAATAAGAAAATAATAAATGAGTGCATTACAATTACCTCTCTTTTTTATAAGAGCTGCCCTCAGCAATTTGTATAAATTGCTAGTAAACATTTGTATTCCCATATCATAAGTGTTATTTGTTGATAGCAGTATATCAATCGCATTTCTTAAATACTTTGTATATGTATTATTATCAATTTCTTAATGTGGTAACATTAATGGGTTCTTTAATTACTAGATGTATGTATGTATGTATAGGTTTAACGTCCCGGAGAAAACACGGGCAGCGCCCGTGTTTCAGAAGCCTCCCGAAGGGCATGGAGACGTGCTACGCTGGAGAGATTTCTATGTACACAGAGAGAGAAAACAGAATCCAGGTGGCAACTCTTGAGAAGACTCAGCTCATTGCAAAGGATTTTTCTGAGCTGCGCATCCACTTCTGGCCCGACGTATGGCCATTCATGGTGGGGCTATAGTGTGGTTCCCTGAGGGGACCGCCGCTGCCGTGCCTGGAAGGCTTTATAGTGAGCAGAGAGGGATACCTCTCTCAGTTGATCAGA